TTGAGGAAAGGCTCAGAAGCAAAGGCGACTTTCAATGCCTCGAAAGCTGCCTGCTCCTCAGCACCCCAATGGAACTTCTCTCCCTTCTTGAGCAGATTAGAAAGGGGGGCTGGCAAAGCAGCAAAGCAGGGAATAAATCTGTGATAGTAGTTCGCAAATCCCAACAGTTGTTGCACATCCTTAACCCGCTGTGGAGGTTCCCACTCCTGCAATGATTGAATTTTTTCCGGGTCCATTTCCACCCCAGCAGGTGAAATACGATGTCCCAAGAAGTCAATCGTGGTTTGTGCAAACTGACACTTCTCACGTTTAGCCAATAGGTGCTTATCACGCAAACATTGCAACACTAGCCACACATGCTGCCAATGTTCCTGCAGGAAGTCTGAGTAAATCAAAATGTCATCTAAATAAATGACCACAAATTGATCCAACAAATCACGGAAAACATCGTACATGAAATGCATGAACACAGCTGTGGCATTGGTTAATCCAAAAGGCATCACGGTATACTCAAAATGCCCGTACCTCGTCCAGAAAGCTGTTTTCCACTCGTCCCCTGCACGAATGCGAACCAGATTGTAGGCCCCATGCAAATCCAACTTCATAAAGATCTTAGCTTGACAAAGCCACTCAGTCAGTTCAGGGATGAAGGGAAGTGGGTACCGATTCCTCACTGTGATTGCATTCAACTTGCAGTAATCACAACATAAATGTAGCTCCCCAGATTTCTTTTTCACAAAAACCACCGGTGCAGCCAATGGGAAGGTCAAAGGCCAGATAAACCCTTTCCGGAGGTTCTTGTCAATAAAATCCCGCAACGTGACCAACTCCGGTTCCAACGGAATATATCCGACCCACCAGCAATTTTGCATTGGGCAACAAGTCAATTGGACAGTCATACGACTGATGCGGAGGCAACTGATCCACCTCCTTTTCCCCAAACACATCAGCAAAGTCCACCAACTCCACAGGTAGATCTAGGTCCACGGGTGTAGCCACACTCCCTGCACAAGAGCGCAAGCAATAGTTTGCACACTTCCTATCAAGGAACTGCACAGCTCCAGACGACCAGACAATCTGTGGATCATGGGCCTGTAACCACTCCAAACCCAGCACCACCGGAAAATGGGGCACTGCAGCAACATAAAACATGGTTTCCTCCACATGCTGCCCAATACGCATGCAAAGGGGTCCCGAACAAAGGGGCCAGCCATCAATCGTCTCCACCATTACTGGTGGGGATACCTGTTGCTGAGGAATGAACCACTGCTTGACAAAATGAGCATCCATGAAATTGGCTATGGCCCCTGAGTCAACCAAAGCTGGGATCTCCACTGCTCCCGCACCAGGCACCGAACATACTTGCTGGCAGCACAAGATGCTTCACCAATAGCGACTGTGGTGGAGATGTCGAAGATCTCAAAGGTGGCGAGGGTGGCAAGGTTGGTGAAGATGGCGGGCCTATGGACTTTGCACCCCGACCTGCAAACCCCTGTAGGCCGAGCGATGCTTGTTTCTCGCCACCACAGGTGTCACTGCTGTGGATGTCTTAACAGGACACTTGACCGCAACATGGCCTCGTTTGCCACAATAGAGGCATAAACCATCACAATGACATCTATTCTTTCCTACTTGAGTCAGGTGAGGGCAGCCAACCCCCCAACTGCATGGGTTCCTCTAAAGGCACTTCCACCAAGGGCACCATCTTGCTGGAAACAGATACAGTCTCTGTCCATCATCGCACCCGTTGCTGCTGGAGTCTAGCATCGATACGAAGACACAAACACATGAGCTCCTGAAGGGTGCAAGGGCATTCAGTGCACGCCAACTCATCCAGGAGCTCCGATGACAAACCTTCCTGGAACTGGTCTAATAGTGCTGCCTCATTCCATTATACATCCTGAGCAACCACCCGAAAACTAGCAATATAATCCATGAGTGAGCCACGCCCCTGCTTCAACTCTCTCAAATGTCTGTTTGCTGTTTGGCTTCGAACAGGGTCCTCAAACATGGCCTGAAACTGATGGCAAAACTCGGCGTAATTGTCCAACACCTGGTTGGGCTGGGTCAGCAGAGGCGTCGCCCAACATGCTGCAGAGCCTGACAACAAACTAATCAAAAACCCCACCTTATCCCGGTCAGTGGGAAAGTCCTCAGGCCAAAGGCTCATGTAAAGCTGGCACTGCCCAAAAAATGCTGGAAATTGGGCCAGCGAACCATCAAATTTATCTGGCACTGCCACTGGGCATTTTCGGCGTGGCCGGGCAGCTTGCATTTGTGCCACCTGTGCAGTCAAAAGAGCTACTTGCTGGGTTAACTGGGCAATCTCTGCTCTGAGCTGATCCATGGTCACCCCACAAAAAGCAAAAATAAGTTGAAGGGGTGGCTGGAGTCAAAATGTGATGGCCTGTAGTCTCTCAAAATAACCCAAAACCCAAAACATATATTAAAGTCCGGTAAAGCCTTCAACTTAACTTCACTGTTTTATTAGGCACAGTTTAAAGTCACAAAAGTAAATAATGAGGCAAAACAAAAAAACAAAACAAACCGCATTGATGAGAGTTCCGAAGCAAGCCAAAATAACTAATTATAAACTCCAGGAAAATAACCAAGAAAAGTCCATGGGAAGAATGCCAGCAAAGATAAACCTCTTTCAAGGTGAACACTAAATTGACTCCTGCAAATTCTAACTGCGGAGTTGCAAACTTATATACATAGCTTCCACCTGCAAGCCACGAGGAAGATAATGGTAATCTCCTCTTGAGTAGGCCTCGCTTTTCCCTGATCCTCTCCTCCCTGCGTGCCCTAGGATGGATAGGGGATGGGCCTGGATCCTCCTCTGACTGCTCAGCCGGCCTCTGCCTTTCCCCAGCCTCCTCCACCACCTCTGGAGCCACACTCCCACTCCCTGTTGGCTGTTCCTCCACTTCCTCAGAGTCAGACTCCACCAGGGGCATGACACTGGTCTTCTAAAGAGCAGTCAGGGTTGATCTTCTCTAGGACTGACCGGTTTGATTGCTTTGCAATCCAAGGGACTCGCAAGAGTCTCTTCCCCCAGCACCAAAGTTCAAAGGCTTCAATTCTTTGGCGCTCAGCCGTTCTTATGGTCCAACTTTCACAGCCATACATTGCAACTGGGAAAACCATAGCCTTGACTATACGCACTTGTGTTGGCAGGGTGATGTCTCTGCTTTTGAGTATGCTGTCTAGATTTGCCATAGCTTTCCGCCCCAGGAGCAAGCGTCTTTTAATTGTTCACCTGCATAAAATTAAGAAAATACAGGTGTCATTAAAGTAACATTTTTTTAAAAAAAATTAGAATATTCATGACTAATACAGGTTTGTCATGCGTTACAGGGAGTCCTCAGCTTACAACCATTTGTTTAGTGACCATTCAAAGTTATAATGGCACTGGAAAAAATAATTATAACCATTGCAACATACCCGTGAGATGATCAAAATTCGATGTTTGGCAACTGGCTTGTATTTACAACAGTGGCAGCATCTGTGGATCATGTGACAGCCATTTGTGAGCTTCCAACAGCAAAGTCAACAACAGCTCTTAACAACTGCAGTGATTCACTTAACCATAACAAAAAAAGTTTATAAAATTGGGTGCGATTCACTTAACAACTGGCTAGTTAGCAATGGAAATTCTTGTCCCCATTGTGGCTTTACACTGTATTTTGAACTATGTGAATATCTGTTCTGAATCAAACCTGGTTCTCAGAGAGCAAACACGGGACAAATGTACCAGCACAACCTTTTAATGTTTCATTTATGAATCCTGTTTCTTCACAGATAACAGGCTGCTTCCACTAATAAGGAAGACTCTTGCCAAGTTTTTGCAAGGCTGCCCAGAACAACAGATAAAGTTCCTAAACAGTAAATCAAAGAGCCTCCAAACACCAACTCCACCAGGCTCAAGTATCAAACTTCTTCACCTTCTGCAAAGAATTGCAGTTTCTCAGCTGGCTTTTATCTTCTCAGGGAAGGGCCTTCCAGCCTTACTCCCAAGTTGCCCGTGCAGCTTCTCTTTCCTGGGCACGGGCTCCTCAGGGGCCTCTTCATCATTGCTGCTGGCCTCCACAATCTCCAAAAGCAGCATTCCACTCCCTGATAGTCCTGGCCCCATCCCTGCATCACATGCAGGCCCCTCATCTGAGTCCTTGCTCTCCCAGGCCTCAGCCGTCTGCACCGGCTGCTGGCGAACCACAACAATGTTCTTTGAATATTATTATTTTAAATTATTTATTTTAATACAGTATGCTCCTTGTAATGATTCACTCTTCCTGAGGATTGCAGGGAGGAATAGCATCCTACGCTAGCTGCTATGATTGGCAGCATTTTCTCACCCTTCCCAAGCTAATATCATCTTCCTTTTAATTCCATCCTCACAAGATTTGCCAAAGTTTATTTCTCAGGTCAAAGGTGCATGCATTGGTTTGCTATAAATTGTTATGCCTAAGAGTAAATAGAAAGCTCTAATCCAAAGTTCAGGTGGAAGCGCTGACACCATAAACTTTTGCTCAACAACAGGAAAAGAACATGGTGACTTTTCTTCTGGTGCTAGCAAATTAATGCCTGGGTATATTTACAATGGATTAGAACTGTGTTTTGGGCTATTTCTCTATCTGGCTTTAGTTATAATGCGAATGCTGCCTCTGGCAGACTGCAGTGTCCTCATTATTGGTTATTCCAAATTTAGTAATTGCTGGGAACTTGTGCCCCAGTATCATCAAAGATATTGTCTCCGTGGGAATGAAATAAAGCCTCGGGATTCACCAAAGCACCTGACCAGGTACAAAGATCTCACAGCAGCAGAAGGTAGATTAATTCTCTCTGCTCCAACAGAAGAAATTTATTTTTATGTCTTTCCTTCCCCCCTTAATAAATGCAATTGAATCTGTGTTTTTTTTACACTTGGTTTTATGCAACCATCCATGTCTTGTCATTACTAATCTCATTTTTTTAACTTCTCTCATTATTTCATTTTGCAGATTTACCGGTATTCATATACTGCTTTTTATGTCCTCAGAAAACTGCCTAATGGGTAAGTAATACAATGAAGACTCCTCATTCCATGGGTGGCTGTTTGGCTTATATGGGATAATTGGGGAGGAAGGAGGGAACACTAGATATTGAGCACCCAGCAACTATTCCCAAACTATTCCCAAATTTAAGCAGAACTTGTAATAAAACCATGAAGTTTCCCTTGAAATAGGGACAGAAAAAGTCAAGATGTTATTTAGGGTGCATTCCAGGGTCTTCAATTGTGTAACCATGGACACCATTTTGATATCTTCTATAGAAATACAATTGCCTTCCCCCAAAAAAGTTCCAATAGAGTTTAATGAGTAATGGATCATTCTATAAATAATAACAAAGCATTCTGTTTCATTGGCCTTTGTTGTCACACATTCCATTTATAAATTAAATCTTTCATTCATAAAGAAAAATCAAGGGTTTTGCTTAGCTTATGAATTCAGCCAGCATGGTTTGTGAACCACAAATAATGTCTTAGTATGCTTTGTAAACCCAACCAATCATGGCTTTTTCTGAAATCCGTGTTTAAACAAACTTAACTTAGGTTGATGCAAAAACCTAACTATTAAGTTAAGATGCAAAAGAGCCCACCCACATTTGTCTCAGCGGGTGTCTATGATTCTGTGTGGTCTCCAAGATTGTTGTGATAAACTTGGTGTCAGACCAGGCCTAATCTGTTTATGTGCAAACAAAGGGAAAGGATTGGCTTTGCATATAAGAAGTCAAATGGCTATTAAGAAGCTAATTCAATACAGATTCTGTACCACAGTATTATTTTCCCCAGAATCAATCCAGAACAGATGACATTCTTTGGGGCAAACGGGTGACCCAGAGAATGCTTACTGGCCTAGATCATAGTGGGTGGACAGAAGCCCATGGAAACATGAGGTGCTGCAGAGCCCAGATCCTAAGGAATAAGGGTGCTGTAGTAGAGCCCAAATCCTAAGAAATAGGGGGTGCTTTAGAGCCCGGATTTTAAAACCCTAAGAGTTTTTAAAATGACAACCAATGTTGTGATGGAATGAAGAGTAGAAGGGGATTCCCAGGACAGGAGAAGTCCATTCCAGAGGAGTACGAAACAATTCAGACCGAATATTATGTGTGAGAGAAAGAAGGGGAAGACAAACACAACCTAATAGTTCACAGAGTACTTTGTAGAAGCAGACAGTGGAGTCTGTAGTTTGGCAAGATTCTGTCTATAGGTATAAAACGATCATGAACTTGGACGAACTGCCACATTCCATTCTTGGGTTCTGACAAGCACTTTGACTGACATCCAGGAGATAATGGGCTCCACAAATAGAAATATTATGCAGGGATACTTAGTCATTCGTGTCACTATTCAAGATGGTAAATTCTGGACAACTTGAAGCATCCAAACGGTTTTTACAGTACCCTAAATAAGAGAAGACCCGCTACAGCATAGCCTTTGTAGTGGATTTAAAAGGATACACTGATTATTTCTGTGATGATACCATGATGCATGATTTTTGGCTTACTCAAGATGCCCATGTCATTTTCAGGAAGATGGTCATCTTCTCAGGTCATCCCTGCCTTTGAAAACAGCTTCCTCTCCCCCCAAGATTATTCCCCCTCCCCAAAACTATTCCCCACCCCACGCTGATTTTTCAAAAGCTGTTACAATTTGGCTATTCCTTTGGGAGTAGAACTACTCTGAGCAAGATTACACATATTTATCCCCCCCCCCCCCCCAATTATAGGTATGTTTGACTTTTTCTTTTAGGATGCGGTTCTTGGCTAAAATAAAAGCTTAAAATATACCTCTTTCAGAGTAAAATACATACAAGCACCTATGGCCCAACAGCCTCTTTTCAAATATGTGTTTCAATTAAATTTAAAATATTTGCAAACGGTTGCAGAAGTGGTGCAGAACATGCCATGCAAAGACACCCAGCTAAATGGTCTGACCCATCCATTGAGTGACTGTGGTTCAGAAGTCATTTCTCATTTTCTAGAATTGGATCGGCTTAGGTTATTTTCTTAAAACTCAGTTGATTGTTGTCAGTGACCAGACTTGACGAGGAAAACCACTTCATAGGTATTGTTGCTAAATCAAATGTTTGGTTTTTAATCATTCCCACTTTAGCATTATTCTTAGCAGCTATGTTACCGCCTGTAACGTTTTGCAAACTTAGAGCTTCCTAGCCTTTGGAGGGTCCACTTGCACAATCACTATCCAGAACGCCTTTTATTATTCTTATTTTTGCAACAAGGCCACCTCTTGAATGCCTCTGTCTTCATCAGCAGATGTTCAAATTAGAGACTTATTGCCAGAACTGGAAATAAAACCTCTGGGCTTTCTGGAGTATGTTTCTATTCCCTTTTCTATCCTTTTCCTAAATCTGGGAGTGAAATTCAGGTTAAGCCAGAGCGCCACCTAGTGGTCTTTCTGGGATCCTCCTTTTCTTACAGAGTGAGCCATACAAATAATCAAATTAAAATTATAGTGATGAGCTGTTCGGTTTTGATCAACGGGAAACCCTATTTTTCAAGCGGAAGAGGAATTGAATAAAACCCTGCATGGATCTGTTGGTGTCCATGATTCTTGGTGACCCATGACCATGATTTCTCATGGATTTTCTTCCAAGTGATTGCATTTTTTGAGTTCTTGAATGCTCATCCTTAATGCCCTCAAAAATACTATGCATTCACCTTGTCTTCTATTAACCTCTTTTTCATTAGTCTCCAAAATCAGATTTTTTTTTTCTAATGGCTCTTGTCTTCCCATAATGGGTACAAAATATTTAAGCTTTGGCTTCCTTATCAGTGCTCCTATTGCACAGTTGGTTTTTAACCCAAAGGTGCTTTTTTTTTCAAGAGACAACTTGAATTTCTGATTTTTCTTTGAAGACGTCAGGAGACTTGAAGAAGCTTCTTGGATAAGAAGCGAAACATCTTCAGAGAAAAACCAAAAAGTCCAGCTGCCTCTTGAAAAAAAAAGCACCTTTGAATCAACCATGACCTGGAGGACGGAGTATCTCCACAGACACTCCGTTGGGTTTTAAGTCCTCTCATAGCAGATGATTCATTCTAGTTTTCTCTAGCACCACAATTCATAATTATATTTAAGCAGACCTGTGGGCAAGATTTGCTTCCTTGTATTGCTGTATGTAGAACCGTGCCTCATAAACATAATGTTACTGAACTATCGATGTCCTGTTATTTATAAAACCCAAATGATAAACAAAATAAATCTAATTTACCTATGCAGGAATAAGCTGCCATAAAAGTAATCCTGGTATAAACTGGCACGACACTAATGCATTGAAACAGCTTAAAAGAGAGAGTACAACCAAGGGCGGATAATTAGCCATTAAATTCTGCAAAAAACAAAAGGATTTTCAATATTTTTGCAAAACCCCATCTCATCTGGACAGTTTTCCCAGGACTGTGACTTTAAGATAGGTTACCTTGTCACTGGACTTGTATGTTAAATCCTAACAAATGACATTAGGAGATGTTTCCAACAACCTGAAGCAAGATGACCAGTCTTCAGTTAATTTAATGCTTTAAAGCTGTGGCAAAAACAGAATAAATTGATCCATCAGCAAAGATAATCTGAAATTGAGGAGATGTTATAGGGGCAAGAAGTTCAAGAGGAGAATCTTTTATGCTTGCTCACTTTCCTTTGGAAGGACATCAAGGGAGTTTGGGTTTATTTACATTTACAATGTAATCTTCAACTTACAACCAACCATTAGCAACCATTCAAAGTTATGCCCTACCTGCAAAAGGGAGTTAAGACCCGGGAGTTTCACTGGTTGCTTCCTCCTGCGGTTATGTGATAGACATCAGCCACACAAGTGCATTTATGGAGACTTGCAACATTCCATGGTCATGTGAATAATGGTTTTGCTGAAAAACTGCACTACTGCAAACAATGTGTTTGCTTAACGGCCACAGCATTTGTCTAATCACCGCTATGTTCACCTGTGCTGCAAAAAAGATCATAAAATCAAGGTGGTCACGTGACTAACCCAATTTACAACCACATATGATCATAATGGGTGGGCTCCATTAGGGTGATATGTTGAGGATTACTTGAATACATTATTCCATATTTACAGAGAAATTCCATTCGAACAGTAATGCCCAGTGGCAGTCAGAACCCTGGTCAATGTCAGATTTCCTCAGAGTCCTTGATACATACTTGTTTTCTTGTTGTCTTCCCAAATTCACTCCATTTTTCCCCCTCTTTTGTCTGCAACACGCAGCAGGCTATTCATCTGGTTTATACTTAGTTGCCTGCCAAATTTAGAAGAAGACCAAAGATGAGTTGTCTTCTTTGACCTTTTCCTAATTTGGAGTGTCATCTAACCTCCTGCTGCCCCCAAATATGCTGTCATTCTGTCCATCTCATGGCTAGGAATTGAAAGCAACGGAAAGGCAAGCAAGCTGTTACTGGTTGGCAAGCAATCATCTAGCCCATGTGTTTCTTGGAGGCACATTGTACATGGTGTGTCTAAGAAGGAGGTGCGGACTATTTTGCCAAGCTATTTATTTGCACAAGTCTTGGGCATCTCGTCTTGCTTCACTAACCTTTTTGACTGTTACTGCAGAAGATGTACATTCCCAAGGGTGGTTCCTTGATCAAGATGGTAGCCACAGTGATCCACAGAAAGTGCCATTTTATGTGTATCAGGTGCAGTAAACGAAAGATTAGTCCTTCAATTGCATCATACTGTATCTTAAGTATTATTAGGTGTAAAATTATTAGTATGGAAAGCAATGGTGGGATTCAAATTTTTTTACTACCGGTTCTGTAGGTGTTGCTTGGTGGGCGTGGCTTGGTGGGCGTGGCAGGGGAAGGATATTGTAAAATCTCCAGTCAGAAGTGGTATTTGCTGGTTCTCCGAACTACTCAAAATTTCTGCTACCGGTTCTCCAGAACTGGCCTGAACCTGGTGAATACCACCTCTGGTGTAAAGATGCCTCAGAGACAGTCCAACACGTAGTGTCAGATATAAAATGCAGGCAGGAACAGCAATCACTAAGCAACACAACCCAATAGCTAGTTTTGTATTCAGGAAAGTCTTCATAGTGCATGAACTAGAGACCCCATCCCAAATGAAACAAGCCAAATGTTAAAAAGTTATATTTATGTAGTTACTTACCAAGCGCATCCAAATTGAAGCAACCAAAATATATTTACAACTTTTGAGCACCTTTAATGTTTGGAAACTGAAAGCTGAAAAATTTGACACAACATAGTCTTTCAAGGTAGAAGACTTCATAGAAAGTCATGAAGAATGAGGGGACGAAGATCCTATGAGACTTCCAGATCCCTGTAGAATAGGCAAGTTCTGGCCATTAAACCTGACATAGTGATAGTAGACAAAGACCAGAGGACTGTGGTGGTGATAGATGTAGCGGTGCCAAGTGACAGCAACATCAAGAAGAAGGAAGATGAATGTCAGCGTTCCAGAAAACCTCCACTCCAACAAATAACTCAGAGACAGACATCCTCTCAAAAGTTATTTTTTATTTGAGTAGTAAACTGGCACACCTGGGAAATTCAGAATCTGAAAGTCCTGGGTTTCCTTGCAATAAGTGAAAAATCACAAATCCACCCCCTGCACCCATCATTGTGTCACATGCCTCCATCACCATCCGTCCCAAATTGAGACGTCCTCTCAACCAGGCGCAAAAATAACATGACCTTAGCTTAGAAGAAGAATGCTATCATGTCTAACCACATATATTCCAAGAAATTCCCACCCACCCCCATTCTCCTAGGCTCAGGAATGTGGCAGTGTAGAAGTATCTGGTGCTAATATGGCTTCCAAAGCTGACAATGAGAAGCTGGAAGAGGAGCAGGACTTGTATGAGGAACTGGAAAGAGTGTGGAAACTCAAGACCAAAGTGGTCCCAATGATGGTAGGAACACTCATGGCTGTGACTCCTAAGCTGGAAGAGGGACTCCAACAGATCTCAGGAACATCAGATCTCTCTTTCCAGATAGTACAGTGGAAGGAACAGCTGAAATCATGCGCAGAACCCTCCAACTCCTAGGCTTCTGGTAGAGGAGGCAAGATCAGCAACAGTGGTCTATGTCTGGAATACTCTACCCGACTCTGTGGTTTCTTCCCCAAGCCCCAAAAACTTTAACCTTAGACTGTCTACTGTTAACCTCACCCCTTTCCTAAGAGGTCTATAGGGGGCGTGCATAAGCGCACCAACGTGCTTAAAATCCCTGTCCTATTGTTTCTTTTATTTTTTTTATTTTTCTTATAGGTATCCATGTATTCATAACTATGTTTTTACTTATACCTATTATCTTGTAAGCAATTGACAAAAATAAAAAAATAAATAAAATAAATAAAAGATTGAGGAAGACACAATGGCATGAGAAGGGAGTGTGTCTGTTCATCCGTCTGTCTGTCGCTATCACTGCTTATTAGGAGTTGAATTTGGTGTAGACAAAGGATTTAAAATCTTGGGTAAGGAGTTGTGATTTAGTAAAAGGATACTGTCCAAAATGGAGGCTAGTGATGAGTCCCAGTACAGGATGAAACTGGACATACAGTGCCTCCTAGTGGTCAATAGTAAATAAAAGAATTTATTTAAAAGAAGATATACATTCCTATTGCCTGTGAGGTCTTGAGGCCCTTAGTACATCCCCGGACAAAATTAATAATTTTAAACTCACTAGTCTGAGAGTTCAAGGGGGGAAATGGGGGAGGCATATCTCAGTTTATGGCAGGCGTCTCCAACCTTGCCAACTTTAAGATTTGTGGACTTCACTCCCAGAATTCCTCAGCCAGCTTTGTGTTGAAGTCCACAAGTCTTAAAGTTGCCAAGGTTGGAGACCTCTGATCTATGGCATTTAATTCCTTAGCATTTTTTGTTTGTTTATTTGTTTGTATCTGGCTTGATCAACAGTTTCTAATCTGAAATTGTGGTTGAGTTTTTGCCTGAGTCAGAATATTAAACAAAACTGCTATTTTAAAAAAACAGCAAGATAGGTCAAGATAAGTATATTCAAGCATTTTTCTATGTGCCTCGAACCTGACATTTTATTTTTTAAAAAACTAGTATTAATGAGGGATGAATGGCGAGAAAAAAGCCATTCCAGGTCATTATTCAGAAGCCTGTTTTCCTTAATGAGCTGTGATACTCTGCCCAGAAAAGAAATAGAAACAGACCACCAAAATAGATCACAGCTCGTGATGCCAAATTAGTCATCCATTTTCTGCATACAATTATGAAATAGCCCATCCAAATGTCACTTCACAATATAACCCAGAAATTCCTCCCTCCCCGCCCCTTGCACTATTTATTTCTTATTTTCTTTCTGGATAGCAAAAATATTACTGTTAATTTAGAGCGGTGCTTCTGAACCTCGACAGCTTTAAGTGGCTGGATTCCAACTCCCAGAATTCCCCAGCCAACATTGCAAAATTGAAGAAGGGGAGTGAGGGACATCCTCTCCCCTTCCCACCGCCTTTAAACCTGGATGACATCCCTTTTTTGAATTTGAAAGTGAGCTTAGAATAGATCGCTTTGATACAGACCAGATATGAACCCAGTGCAACAAAACGGAGAGAACTAGAGCCACAAAGGACAAGTATGGGGGGGTCTTGTTTTACAACCATTTTGTTTAGTGACTGTTCAAAGTTACTACAGCACCAGGGGTGAAAAAAGACTTGTGACCTAATCTGGGTTGGTCACCAGGCCAGCGTTTTTTCTTCTTCTGAGTTTCTGGACTCATACTGGAGCCCAGCTGCAGAAAACTTTTCTCTAGCAGAGTGTGGGCTTTGGGTATGTCTAGTTTAATGAAAAGAAGGACCAGGGGAGACATGATAGCAGCCTTCCAATATCTCAGGGGCTACCCCAAAGAGGGAGCCAAGCTATTCTCCAAAGCACCTGAGGGCAGGACCAGAAGAAATAGATGAAAACTAATCAAGGAGAGAAACAGCCTAAAATTAAGGAGAAATTTTCTGACCATGAGAACAATTAATCAGTGGAACAACTTGCCTCCAGAAGTCGTGAATGCTGCAACACTGGAAGTTTTTAAGAAGAGATTGGATAACCATTTGGCTGAAGTGGTGTAGGGTTTCCTGCCTAGGCAGGGGGTTGGACTAGAAGACCTCCAAGGTCCCTTCCAACTCTGTTATACTATTCTATGTTCTGGGTGTGCTATTTATACGATACCTGCTGTATGTGGCCTTTTAGATGCTGATTGGGGTGTTGACGTTGATTATTAAGTCATTGGCTGTTGTTTGCTTCGGCTGCCAAGCCCTCCCCTCCTAAGTACTTGATAAGTTGATAGTAAATCAGCACTCCTGTTGACTGAGGAGGGACCCATTCCAGGGGTGGGATTCTACCAGTTCTATCTACCTCTGTAGAACCAGTTGCTCTGAAGAGCAGCAAACAGAGAGCATACACAGAATCGGTTCTATGTCTGCTGCTGTTTTGGCCCACCTGCCCACCCGGGCTCTTACCTGACCTTTATTTCCTACCTTTTCAACCGCACCTGTTTTGTGTGAAATAGCTGCTGTTGAAAAAGCAGTAAAAAGGGGCTTTTCCAACCACTGTGCACTTGCACGCAGCATTGCTCAGATGTCCGGGCAGCTCAGCAAGTCGTAAATTGCACTCACATGACTTACACATGCGCGCATGCAACGCAGAGCGACAGAACCGGTAGCTATATTATAACCGGTAGCTCTCCAAGCTAGATAAGGTCCATGCTCCTAATGACACCCTTGAAAGACTGTTTGCCAGGCCTTTGGCTGAATGTGGATGCAAGTAATTCACCTTCATTGAATAAAAGGGGTTTTGCCGGGACAAAGAGTCTGCTTAGTGCTTTTGGGGGGAGCCTATGCCAGAACATTGTGGGTGCTCCATCACTGGAGGAGTTTAAGAAGAGACTGGACAGCCACTTGTCTAGAATGATATAAGGTCTCCTGCCTTCCATTAGAATAACTCCGTGGAAAACTCGTTCCTATTCAGCTAAACTATGCATAATTATTTTCAGATCAGAAAAACCTAGAAGCATTCACAGCTGATGCCCTAACCCTGGTTATGCATGCACAGATATGGCCATGTGACCACTGAGAGATTTTGATGTTGTAATTTCCTAACTGAGTTGTAAGTACTTTTAGGGTGGGGGCATTCGATGTAACTTCAACTGGACGTTAAGTCGAGGACTACTTGTACCCTATCTGATATTCTATGAAGGTTTATCGTGTGGAAATGATTGAAATGTTTTGCCTGCCTTCAATAGAAAATCCATGTTTCACCAGACTACAGAAGAATAGCATGGCTCTATATAGCCTCCAATTTTATAAAGAGTAAAGAATACAGTGGTGAACTTGAACTTGTCACAGTGGATCCCATTAAGGACAGTAGAGGTGCGGGACCTTATTAAAATCTCCCAATGTTTTATTTGTTTACAGGGAGCCTCAGAATCTCTACCCTCCCGAGGTTAGCAATGCAAAACTCCAATATGCGGGATGGGGACCCAAAGGCCAACAGCTGGTAAGAAACTGTTCACTATGACTCTTTGTCTCCTTTGCTGCAAAGTCAGCCACAAACATGTATAAAAGGGATGCCGCATATGGCGTCTTGGCTTACTTCACCGATTTAACCATGCAGCCTCGTGGCTGATAGTTCAGGACTTAATTCAGCTCTGATAGCGCTTGCCTAATAGCAAGACCGATTTGCTTCTTGGTGACCTGAAGATTCATATGCTCAAAGCCAGCACAGCAGAAGAGGTGAGGGCCATAATTGAGAGGTAGGACATGGTGGCTCAGTGGCTAAGACGCTGCGCTTGTCAATCAGAAAGGTGTAAGCAGTTTGGCGGTTCAAATCCCTAGCACCGCATAATGGAGTGAGCTCCCGTTACTTGTCCCAGCTTCTGCCAACCTAGCCGTTCAAAAGCATGTAGAAAAGCAAGTAGAAAAATAGGAACCCCTTTGGTGGGAAGGTAGCAGTGTTCCGTGCGCCTTCGGCATTTAGTCATGCCGGCCACATGACCACGGAGACGTCTCTTTGGACGGCACTGGCTATTCGGCTTTGTAACGGAGGTGTACACTGCCTCCTAGAGCCAGAAACGACTAGCACATATGTGCGAGGGGAGCCTTTACCTTTATGAACAGATTCCAACCCAGCAGTTTAATGTGGGTGTTAGAAAGAAGTGAAGAAATAAGACGGCCCTGAAGCATTTCACAAAGTAGATAAGAGATTTCAACTTGTCAGTTCAGGTCATTCAGCCACTGACTCAGAGAAGATCCTAACCAGGAGATATTTCCTGACGGGCTTTCTCAACCACGAGGAGCTGGGAATTTTGCACATTTTAATTTTGTTCTTCTTACGAATGAATTCATCACTAATTCTGCATCCACTTCAAAGAAACCTTTATTTTGACCTTGGGAAACCGCTCTGCCAACTCATAGCAAAATCCTAACTCTTAATCATTTATGCCAACCACAAAACCATGTGCCTTCCATATCTGTAATGCAATAAAGAATAACCAATGAACCAGGGTGTATCATTTCACAAGAAGAAAATTTAATTTACGGTGATGCCCTACATAAACATCAGCGATATTATTAGGTTACCAAATACAAGATAATCCGTTTTTCAGAAGTTTAAAGCACAGAGTACATATTAAAGGCCACTTTGGTTAATAAATTCTGGGAACAATATAACGGCAGTTAGCATGCAAAGGTACAGATAGTCCTCAACTTAGAACCTATGTAACGATGGTACATAGTTAGAAAGGCAACAGAAAAAGTTATTTGCAATCCGTCCTTGAAGTTATGACCATGATCTCATCCCAACTGATCACAAATCAGGCTTAGCAACCAGCTCACATATACAACTAGTTGCAGCAACCTGCAGTCACACGATTGCAATTTTCAACTCTCCTAGCTGGTTTCCAACAAGCAGTGTTAGAATTAAGGAAGCCAGATTTGCTTAAGGACATGATAAGCGTGACTGTAAAATCAGGTCCCAATTACATCCATAAGTTGTAACTAGTTTAGGAGCCCAGGAACAATATTCTACACAGCCATAGAAAATACTAAAGCAGAATAAAACATCTGAAGACATTAAAAAGTGTTTTCTACTTCTATAAGCAGCTAAAATGTGCAGTAGAGTTTGTGTAAAATGCAAATTATTACAAGATTTGTTGCCAACTCCTGGTAAGTTGTGTGTGTGAGAGTGTTAAGATAAATAAAATAATAAATATGCAGAGGAGAGATTGTAAGGCTAAATCACTGGGTCCTCAGAGAAGCAGCAATATAATGATAATTTTTAAGGTTCCAAATGAGCTATTTTTTAATTCATCATTCAGTCCAAGAAAGATTTTTTTGCTGAAGATCAGACAGCTCCACAACATTATTTTTGCTCCAAACATTGTCAGTTTTGGGGGTACTAAAGATATTATATGCAGAAAACGCTTCTGGGTTTTAAAGATTAATATGAGCTGCTGTTCCAAAAATCAAAATAAAACCTATCTTAGTTTTCATAGAAGCTTTAGAACTTGTTCACCATTAGAAAGAGATTTTTTTGTTGTTGTTAGTTGAGAAATCGTGTCTGACCCTTGGCGACCTCATTGACAACATTCCTCCAAGCCTTCCTGTCCTGTACTGTCCTGTCCTGGAGTCCATTTAAGATGACGCTGACAGCTTCAGTGACTCCAGCCAGCCACCTCATTTTCTGTCGTCCTTTTCTTCTTTTGCCCTCAATTGTTCCCAACATTAGACTCTTGCGAGAGACAAAAAGGCAGGTTTAAGTCAGGTGTAAACAACTAGTCTATGCATATGTAATTCTAGAATTTTCAAGTTTTGCTTTCCAAATTACGAGTAGCCTATTTTCTTACTTTCTAATTGGCACTTATCTTATCTCTGTTGCTATGAGCTTAATATTATCCTCTCATTCCTTTCTTATCGATGTTATGTGACACTCTATGTATAATGGCCAAATACTAATTTCCCTCCTAAGTTGGCATTAATCTAGATTTTTAATAACTGCTTTCTAACAAAACAGAGTACCCTATTGGATTGTTTACAGAGGTTGAAGATCGAACAGGATCTCTTGCAGTAGTTCTTTTACTTCCTTAACAGAGTCTCACATTTCAGTCATTCGCCACTGTAGAATATAAGTAATCCTTGACTTACGACCACAATTGACCCCAATATTTCCGTTGCTAGGTGGTGCGCTTTGCCCCGTTTTACAACCTTTCTTGTCACAGTTGTTAAGTGAATCACAGCAGTTGTTAAGTTGGCAGCACAATTGTTTTGTTAATTTGGCTTCCTGACTGACTTTGCTTGTCAGAAGGTCGCAAAAGGAGATCACACGACCCTGAGACGCTGCAACCGTCATAAATATGAGTCAGTGGCCAAGGGTCTAAATTTTGAACATGCATGGGATCATGGGTATGTTGCAATGGTCATGTTCTGCCCTTTATAATTACTGGCTGAATGTATAAAGACAGACAGATTTAAACTCCACAAAGGCAAACGGAAGTCGCCATTGGAGACTTTACTATTTCTCATTATGTAACTGATTTTCATACATAAGCTCTAAGAGGCTATGTGCCAGGAAGAAAATGCTGTTCTAAAACTAATTTACAAAGAGGCAGAAATTGCATCCATTTCCCTAATAGATTGTTAAGCATTTCACAGTAAAAATTAAATAAAATTGTTGCTAGAGATGTAACACGTATTTGCAAAGAGCTCATCTTAAAATAACTACAATGGCACTAAATCCAGTTTCACATTTCCAGATGGAGAGCCAGACATGAAAAATAGCCTTTTAAAACAACATATGGCCACTATTATAAGGAAATTGGGCTTGGTTGTTGCTCAGTCATAACGTTATTTTAAGTGCAGCATGCATGATGTGTATTATATTATCTAGGTCATTTGTGTACTTCACTATTTTTCCACTGAAGGAAACATTTCATTTATATATAAACCATACAGGTAATCCTCAACTTAAGATCAAAATTACAGACTTTATTGTGGTCATAAAGCAAGGACTGCAGATAAGAATTTTGGTCATTGGTCATTGCAGTCGTAAGTCCAAGTACTTTGTCCCAAAGGTGCTTTTCCAAGAGGCAACTGGACTTCTTGGTTTTTCTTTGAAGTTGTTTCACTTCTCATCCAAGAAGCTTCCTCAGCTCTGACTGGATGGTGAGGGACAGTTCCAAGAAGGCTCCACACCCATGTGCACCGTTCAGGTGACCCTGTGGGCGTGGCTTGGTGGGCGTGGCTTGATGGGTATGGCAGGGGGAAGGATACTGCAAAATCCCCATTCCCTCCCCACCCCACTAACCCGCTTTCCAGCTCCGTTCTCCTGTGCAGGGCAACCAAAGAAGACCCAGCCAATCAGCTGGGACTCAATGGGAGACAGAGAATAGATGGGGGCGGGGCCAGTCAGAGGTGGGATTTGCTGGTTCTCCGAACTACTCAAAATTTCCGCTACCGGTTCTCCAGAACTGGTCAGAACCTGCTGAATACCCCCTCTGCTGATGATACAGATAAACCTCCAAGTCGCCCCAACAACTCTCTAAAAGAATGCAAATTACCACATGTCTGTCAGGAATATAAATCCTTCCTTCCCCACCATCCATCCAGTCAGAACTGAAGAAGCTTCTTGGATGAGAAGCAAAACATCTTCAAAAAAAAACCAGAAAGTCCAGTTGCCTCTTTAAAAAGCACCTTTGGGACAACCCATAACTTCGATGACTGAGAATGTCCACAGACATCGAAGTACCTTGTTTCCAGATTTTATTTCACAACTATTTTTATGTTGGTCATAAAGCAGATCACGACAATCTTTAAATGAATCATGTGGTTGTTAAGCGAATCCAGCCTATTCAATTGGAAAATGTAAAAAAAAATGTCATAAGTCAGGGTCATGTGACTGGAGAATGCAGCATCCAGTCGGAAATGCAAGCTAGTTGCCCAGTTACCCAAAATGTAATTGCGTGATTATGGCAGTAGGGGACAGCAGTTGCAACTTTGAGGATGGTTCGTAAATAGCATTTTGATTGAAGTTTGAACATAGGTCTTAAAATGACTGCTTGTAAGTTGAGAACTACCTATATACATAACCCTTACACAATTTCAAATGCCTTGATACCAAAAATTCAGTTTTGCTCTCTCACTCTCTCCCTTTCTCCCCCGCCCCTGTGTGTGTTTGAGTGTGTGTGTGTAATAACTCCATGTCTGAAATTCAGGATTTCCCTGCATAGAAATCACCCATAAAATGATGAAAAATTTCACAACACAGTTCATTTCTAACCTACACACTTCATGTTTTACAGCTTTTACACAGCACATTAAAATTCCCCGATTGTGAGTGTGGTGTATGAAGTTCAAAAAGTGTGTGTGTGTGTTTTTTAATCACAATTTTTCATGGAATACCAAGTGATGTTTTGTGGAACCCCAGCTGAGAATAGTTGTTGTGGGCCATCATTTTTTTCCTCTTCTTGTACAGAATAAATATCCATACCTGCCTGACATTTGGATGTTTTCCCAGGACTAGGACTTTTCCGTCTTTCTACTCTCATTTCTCAGAGTCTCTCCCCTTGGTCCCTTTTTCTTCCAGAATATAAACTGGGAAGAGGTACTCTTGCATTCCCATGCTTTGAGTGACAGCTTTAACATCCAATCATAACACAAACATTATTAATGGTAATAACTTCCTGGGAGGAGGTACCCTGCATTGGCATGCTTTGAGTGACACCTCTAGCACTCAATCCAATCATCACAAGAGGTAAACTGTAGTCCCATGCTTCGAGTGACAGGTTTAACATCCAGTCATTACACAAACATTATCAATAGTAATGATTTTGTGGGAGGAGGTGCCCTGCATTGCCATTCTTTGAGTGACACTATAAAATCCAATAATAATACAAACTTTATCAATGGTAATCAGTTCCTGGGATGAGGTACCCAGCATTCCCAAGCTTTGAGTGGCAGTCTAACACCCAATCACCACACAAACATTATCAATGGTAACGACTTCCTGTGAGGAGGTACCCTGCATTCCCATGCTTTGAGTGACAG